TTAATGCAGCTGTGGAAGATCGCTTTCATCTTATCTAATTTCAATGGAGTGTAAAAAAACCTAATCATACGCCAAAAAGTTATTCTATCACTTTGGCAGCGGCTTTAGAAGCACATGTGAGAAACCATGAAAAATTACCTTGAAAATCCTTTTCACAAGCGACCTCCCGCTAATGTACGGCCTGAAATCCGCTCGGTTCGCTTCCAATCTATAGGTTGTCGTTTTCTCATTCTCAACTGTTATTGTACCGCTGAAGAAAATCAGCACTCTGAAACAGTCCCATTAGTTGTGTCACTCATAGCTCCTGAAAAGAGAAGACTGGTTAATACCCACTTTCTATCGCTTCTCGGTATTATTATTTCGTCCTCTTCAGCGTGCCTGAGCTTATCAGCACTTAGCAGCCCTTTCATACGAAGAACATCGTAGCCGAGCGTCCTTAGCAGAGGACAGCAATCGAAGATGCTCTGAATTCGAAGGGCATCTTGAAAGAACAAGAGCGGACCGTTATAGCCCTGATGCTGCAAGACTCCAAAAGTAAAAGCATAAAGTTGCAGTCAATGCTTGCGTTCCTCATTAAAGAAAACTCTCGCGACCAAGTGCTACGGGTAGTAGGTGCTCAGTCAAGAACCAGTAGCCCATAAGTAATTCCTCAGTGTAGAAGGAAGGAAAAAACCTTGGGAACACTCTGGACAGAGATCCCCTTGGCAGTGGGGCCGGCGCCCTTGGACGAGTATGTCGGACGTCGGCAAGCTCCAATCAGCAGGATTCGACGTGCAACCAATTCCCGGCAAGAGCACAGAAAATCACCCTACGACGCTCCAGGCAACGCTATGTACACACGCATTCCGCTTGTAAGCCGTTGTCTTGCAGAGTGAAAGTAATCGTGGTTGCAATGGTTGCAATAATCACGCGTCTCTAGCTTCTTTATCTCGCCGTTTCAAGTGACGAAGTGGTATATTCTCTGCGAATGCGGACAACGTTGCCAAAGGCATAGAGGCATTTTGCGGACCACTTGATCGCGGGAACTGTCTTCAGAGGCAAAGGGAACGGGGCACGATAACTTGGTTCTAAGAAATAGCAGCAAGGGTGCTATATCGTGAGAAAGTGAAGGAAAAGCGAAGTTATACGGCCGAAGACCTGTGAAAAACCTTGTTTTGCACGGCATTGGACGACTATTTTTGGACGAGTTTCCCGTTGGCATCGTGCCAGCAACTGCTTTGATAGATATGGCTGCACGTATGTATTCATATATTCATGCAGCAATGCTTCATATCATTTGTACCATAAGTGAAAACGCAATGGTAGCAGCTCGATGTGAGTGTGTGGCCATCTATAAGGTGGGCGTTTGGGTCGGCATGTTGCGCCTTTGTTAGGCGCTATAACGGTGCCCGTGGTTGGAGAAGGCGCCACGCAGCGCTCGCCAAAGGCGTAGCATTCTTTCGGGCTAGGCGTTTCGACCATGAACGCCTTGTCGTTTTATCGCGTCACTTGCTTTCAGGAACATGAGAATGATTATAGCTTGATTGTTTAGTCCCTGAGTTGATAACAATGGCGGTGTCGGATCCCTCTCCCAACATTTCTTCTTCCGGAACACCCGCCCCCCCCCCCCCTCCTGCTTTACCTACCATCTTCCTTAATTTCCCTGTTTTCTTACCTTTGCCAAGAGAAAGTCGACGCCGTTACACAGGGGAATGTATATAGCACCCATGAAACCGAGATTTAACCAAAAAAAAGCCCGGAAGTGTCCCGTCAAAGCCAATATGGGACTCATTAGCGACCCACTGGACTTCAAGCTGATAGCGTGCCCAGCTTCCCCCACGCGAAATGCTCCGTCTATCACCTCCGCGATGAAGGATGCTGGAGGATAGCAGTATCTAGTTGTACTGTTATTAGTCTGCTCGCACATCGCATGCAACATGAAGCTGATGGCACGTCTAGTCAGGCCAGGCTTTTTGGCTGCGACATGTTGCAGCATCACCAACGGCAGACGATCTGACGTGAACTAAGTCCCCACCAGTTGGCCCGTTGCCAGAGAGAAAACAGCCAAAGAGCTGTAGAAAACAATGGCGCCCTAGCCTAGTGTGCGTGTGCATGCAAGCAGTGAATTCTTCCCGTTAGAAGTATGGCTGGTAAACAGATCGTGCTGCCTGTTATCGTGTATTGGCAGCGGCGAGGTAACTAAACGACCATTTCAGCATGTGGTTTTCATCTACGCAGCTTCTTCCTACGACGAGAAGCTGGTACGCTTCTACAGCTATGGACCTGGAAATGATCCATTTGCAGCATGCAAGCGTGCAGCTTGTCCTGCAAGGACAAACTGTACACTAACCTTCGTGTATCCCGATCTTCGCCATGTGGCAGAGGTGAATTGCTCGCCAGCTTCTTTTCGTGCCAGTTTCTCCGCTCAAAACCTGCACCACAACGAGGCTGGCAGGCTAGTGTTGCTTCCGGTGCCCGATACCATCTCTCGCGCTATCGCGCCCGCAGAACACGCCCAACCGGAGCGCTCTACTTGTCTGCGTTCTCTCACTCCTGATTGTTCTCTCCGCTGAGTATGTGCTCCACTGCCATGGGACCATGGTATCTGCGCCCCGCCTTAAGAGCAGCGCGAGCGAAGAGTGGGAGCCTTCACGAGTACGATACACTCCAGTCAGTTCCCGTGCATGTTTGAGCAAGGAAAAATGCCGCTTTGCTGCTGCGGATCCATTCACCTAGCAAATAGAAACGACCGTCCTTGGTGATGAGCGCACAGTTCATCTTACAGATTCCCTGATGAGGGGAAGTGTTCACCTCTTGGTATAAACAGGCAAATTCAGCCTCATGGAATACCTGGATTAGTCTCAGCGTTGCGTTTACTCCGAGGCCAGCGAACTGTTCTGCTTCGGATGTACGAAACCAGTCCAGAGTCTGCTGATCCTTGTGAACGCCAGCTCGACGGTTGTTCCACATCTTGTCGGAATCATCCTGAAGAATAACTTTTTCCCACGTTCCTGCACTCTTCAGATTTGATTATTCTTTGATGCTCGGGACCGTGCTGCTTTACTTACATTGAATAAAAAGCAATAAGTTCAGACCTCGATATCGCCGAAGACTTCCTCGATAACATCCTCGAGTGTTATGAGGCCTACAACACGGTACCTTCCGTAGGAAAACTTCATCACCGCACAAAGATGTTGGTCTCCTGAAGCGAAAGTTTAGTAGCAATCTAAAACAGCGTATGAGTAATAACCTTTCATCATTTCCTGCATCAGAGCCTCCCCTCTCTGTGAAGCCAACACGAATCGCATCTGAAAAAAGTTATTTTCACAAAACTGCGGATAAGGCTGAGATCATACGTCCTATCGAACGATATCTGCGATTAGATGCATTTTAGGCAAGTACCTGTTTTCTAGAGTCGTCAATCTTGCTCATAAACTGTTGAACAGTCGACCGATGGTCAATCGTCATCGTTGCGAGATCCTAAACGATTACTTTCCTCTTTTTCTGTGCAGGATACTGCTTCGTGTGAGGAATCCTACTGGGGACAGGGCAGGCTCTGCTGGTGGAGGAGAACTTTGGAAAATGCACCTTCTTTTTCTTTCCTACTTGCCATTTTCCTAGACTTCTTGATTTTGCCAACTTCCTACCGCTTCTTCCGAAATTTCCCGAAAATATTCCAGCTTTTTCCCCCTTCGCTGGAGATTCCCCACGTGCGACGTTCCCTGATTGAGGAGGGGGAAGATGGAGAGAGCGGGTCGCATTTGGGCTCGGAAAAATCAGAACAATTCTCCTAAAGCCGCTTGGACAATTCCTCTCATTGATGAATTTTTCGCACTCACGCGCAAATATACCCCCTTCTCTCTCCCCCCCCCCCCAACCGGTCAAGTATTTGGAGAATTGGGAGTTAGCAGAGTCTGGTGAGCTGGTGGGTACCATCGAATCACTTGAGGAAAACCTCTAATTCCTTCAAAGTACAAGCGCTCTTGCAAGCTGATAGTCATCTACCATCAAGAGCTTGGCTTGATTCACTTGGGCCCTTACAATATTGAGGGTCTGAGCCCTGACCAATCCCTGCACGATCCCGTGATTCACAGATCGATGCACATCTCGTCGCAGGTAATGACATACATATGTATGTACAGACGAGAATTAAGTTGGAATTTTGCACATAATTAATAATTTGAATCGTGCTGTGTGGCTTGTTTATCGCAACATTCTCAGTAGTTGTCTCTAGGTATGCTTACAAATTATGACATAGTAGCGAAGGACCACCGCAATTCACCTTCACATTCAGAACAGCGGTCAGGTTAAGGCGATTCTTCTCTTCAAAAACAGGTATTCTTGCA